ATTGATGATAATCTTTAAAATAATTTGAATGTAATTGAAATTTTTTCAATATACTAATAATAACTTTAGTTTTATAAGCATAAAATCATGATGCTTGAACCGGTTCAAAACATTTTAGCGGTTCGGTTAAGGTTCGGCTAGAATTTTTTTAGCGGTTCAGGTTCGGTTTGGATCCCTGGTTTGCCCATTCCTTTAGGTATGTATTTGATTAGAAACTTATTCAGATGAGAAAGAATAACTTAATTATTAAAATCAGATATCTTCATAGGCCTAGGTTTATTCATCAGGCGTCAGCAGTAAAATTAAGCCGATAATAAATTTTAACAATTTTGTCCAAGCCCATATCAATTTCGTTTATTGTTTTTAATGAAAATAAATGATATTTCAATGTATTTAGGCAATCATTTTTTTTGTTTACAATACTGAAATTTATTATTAGTGTTAAGTTTGTGGTACAAGGATCTTTAAGAGTAAAGGATTTAGAATGAACTTTCTAGTTTGGCTTAGATTATGACAATGATATATCATTGGATTATGAGGATTAGCTTTAACCCTGGTGGACAGGGTGGTTGGGGATCTAAAATAATAAAGTACAAGGGAGTAGTGTTGTTAAATTTCTGGGTTGGCTTGGCCGAAAACCCAACAAGGTTTGAGCCAAATAAAACCACCCTAAACCCGAGACAACCTCTCTGGCCATCGATTAGACCCGACCCAAAGGGTTTCATGAGCCGACCTATTGGCCTGCTGGGTTAACTTGTTGGGTCAATTTGTTGAATATACAGAAAATTAAACTAGTTTGTTTTAATCCGGGTTAAATGTTTTTGATATTAGAAAGATGTTCAAAAATCTTAGGTTCTAGTAATAAATTGGCACTGCTATTATATTTTACTTCGCGAGGAAAAAAATTGTAATGATGTTGTTTTAAATTTAGTTAAATGTTTATGATATTAGGAAGATGTTCTAAATCCTTTCGGTCTAGTAATTATATGGCACTGCTGTTATATTTTACTACACGAGGAAAAAAAATTGTGATCTTTTTTTGAGATGTTGTTTTAAACCTAGTTAAATGTTTATGATATTAGGAAAATGTTATAAAACCTTTGGGTCTAGTATAAAATTTGCATTGCCATTATATTTTACTCCACAAGGAAAAAATAAATTGTGAAAATTTTTTAAAAATTTATCTTAAGCCTAGTTAAAAGTTTGTGATACTAGAAAGATGTTCTTAAACCTTTGGGTCTTGTAATAAATTGGAGCTGCTGTTATATTTTACTCCACGAGGAAAATAATTATAATTTTTTTAAGACGTATTTTAAACCTGGTTAAATGTTTATGATATTAGGAAGATGTTCTAAAACCTTTGGGTCTAGTAATTAATTAGCACTGCCATTATATTTTAATCCACAAGGAAAAATTTTTTTAAAAAAATTTAACTTAAACCTAGTTAAAAGTTTTTGACACTAGAAAGATGTTCTTAAACCTTTGGGTCTTATAAATTTGCACTGCTATTATATTCAACACCACGAGGAAAAAAATTATGAAGTTTTTTAACATTTTTTTTAAACCTAGTTAAATTTTTATGATGTTAGAAGATATTCTAAAACCTTTGGGTCTAGTAATTAATTGGCACTGCCATTTTTACTCCACGAGGAAAAAATAAATGAAAAAATTTATCATAGGCTTAGTTAAAAGTTTTTTATACTAGAAAGATGTGCTTAAACCTTTGTGTCTTGTAATAAATTGGCACTGCTGTTATATTTTACTCCACGAGGAAAAAAGATTTTAAATTTTTTTAAGACGTTGTTATAAACCTAGTTAATTGTTTGTGATATTAGAAAGATGTTCTAAAACCTTTGGGCCTAGTAATAAATTAGCCTACTCCACGAGGAACTAACTTATAAATATTTTGAAAATTTTGTCTTAAACTTAGTTTAAAGTATATATTAAAAAAATGTTCAAAAACTTTTGGGTTAAGTAATAAATTAGCACTGTTATTATATTTTAGTCTACGAGAAAAAAAATTGCGAAAATTTTATAAAACTTTGTTTTTATTCTAGTTAATAGTTTTTAATTTTAGAAAAATGTTTTAAACTTATGTTTATAAATAAATTCATAGTAGCATTTTTATTAACTCCAAGCGTGAAATGAGGATAACATCTTAAGCGTAATTTTAAATATTATATCATTTACTCAAAATATATATTTATGCTCATTGCTATATATATACAACATTTATATTTTAAAGATTAAGGTCAGGAGATAACACATCAGCTGCAGACTCCCGTTTATTTTAACCTAACATGCTTAGACATCTCTAACTCAAATATCCCCTTTGTGATGAATTTCTTCCTTTTTTTGGATATAGATTTTTATATCGTACATAAGAATATTAAAATTCCTTCCATTTTTGGATAGTGTATTTAATTCTAAGTTCAATGATATAAAAATACTTAAAATTACGATAAAAATGTTAGCCTTTTCCCTCTGTTAGTTTTCGCGACAAAAAAATATTTTTCGAACCGGAAACGTAAAAAAATGCATCCAAGCATTTTTGGATAGAGAATTTAATTCTGAGTTTAATGATATAAAAATACTTAAAATTACGCTAGAAATGTTAACCTTTGAACGTTTTCACGACAAAAAAAATCTTTTTCGAACCGGAAACGTAAAGAAGTACATCAAGCATTTTTGGATAGAGAATTTAATTCTGAGTTAGATGATATAAAAATACTTAAAATTACGTTAAAATGTTAGTCTTTTCCCTATGAACGTTTTCGCGGCAAAAAAATTTTTTTCGAACCGAAAACTTAAAAAATTGCATCTAAGCATTTTTGTATAGAGAATTTAATTCTCAGTTCAATGATATAAAAATACTTAAAATTACGTTAAAAATGTTAGCCTTTTCCCTTTGAACGTTTTCGCGACAAAAAAAATATTTTTCGAACCGCAAACGTAAGAAAATTTATCTAAGCATTTTTGGATAAAGAATTTAATTCTGAGTTCAATGATATAAAAATACTTAAAATTACGTTAAAAATGTTAGCCTTTTCCCTTTGAACGTTTTTGCGATAAATAAAATATTTTTCGAACCGCAAGCGTAAAAAAATATATCTAAGCATTTTTGGATAGAGAATTTAATTCTCAGTTCAATGATATAAAAATACTTAAAATTATGAAATGTTAGTCTTTTCTCTTTGAACGTTTTCGCGACAAAAACAAATTTTTCGAACCGCAAACGTAAAAAAATACATCTAAGCATTTTGGATAGAGAATTTCATTCTGAGTTCAATGATATAAAAATATTTAAAATTACATTTAAAATGTTAGCCTTTTCCCTTTGAACGTTTTTGCGACAAAAATAATATTTTTCTAACCGAAAACTTAAAAAAATACATCTAAGCATTTTTGGATAGAGAATATAATTCTGAGTTCAATGATATAAAAATACTTAAAATTACGTTAAAATGTTAGCCTTTCCCCTTGAACGTTTTCGCGACAAAAAAAAAATTTTCAAAAAAAATTTACCATTTAATTTTTATTTGTTAATTACTTCGTAATCTAGTACCTACAATATCTTTATACTTACTATCAATTTAGTTTTGAAAAAAACTTAAAAATTCCATTTTTTAAAAATTATATTCATAATTTAATTTCAAAATTAATAAAATAAATTTAAATCGCAAATTATTACAAAGAATTAATAAAAAAATTTAAAAGATCTTAAAATTTCCAATTTTTTATTATATTTTTCTATAATATTAATGATATAGGTTATTATAATAATCATAGAAATCATAATTATATCAAAAGAAATTATAATGATTATAAACCTAATGAGTATTTTAAAAACAACTTTGGACAAAACGTTGTTAAAAGATATGATAGTAATTGTAATAGAAATAGAAATTGCAATAATAATAATTTTAGATATTATGAAAATAGTTATTGTAGAGACAATAACAATTACAACACTAACAACTTTAGAGGTCATAACTATAAATCCCATGATAAATAAGATATTCGTAATGATGAACACAGTCGTAATAAAAATTATGATAATAAAAATTTCTACTTTAAAAATAAAACTATAATTTTAGGTCTACGTCAATATGTAATTGAAACATATAAAAAAGATATAAATTATATGATTGAATTTAAAGAAATATTTATAATAAAAGAAGTTAATGATACAAATATTAAAGAAAATTAAAAAAACTCTTATAAGTAATACTAAATGCGATAAAAAAAATTTGAAACTTAAAATTTTAAAGACAATTAAAAGTATCACAAAGAGAAGTCATATAAAAACTAAACGTCTTCATTTTAGAAAAATACTTAAAGATGTGATGAGGAGATCTTTTTCTAAAATTTGAGGCTTAAGAAATTATTTTTTACTAAAAGCAATCTCATGATGAATTATTATTTTAAAATACTTTAATTAAAAAATAAGGGCACAAAGTTTAAATCTCTAAAGAGAGAGATGGATGTACAGACGTACATATCATTTTTTATTAAAAATACATATAATATAAAATTTAAATATCATTTTTTATTAAAAATACATATAATATAAAACTTATATATCATCTTTTATTAAAAAATACATATAACATAAAAATAATTTTTTTAAAAAAAACGCTTAATCAAAAATAAATATAAATGATATATTATAAAGAACGCGGAATTAAAAAAATTAATATAAAATGACACACTATGATATCTAATTATAAAACGCGAAATTAAGAAAAACATAAAACGTTATTATTTATAACGCAATATATATAATATTAAAAAAAATAAAACGCAACCAATTATTTATTTATTTCAATTATTAAATATTTGATAAATTTATTCTGCTTCAATTATTCTTAATCAAATTCAATATTCGTTAAATTAATTCTATTTCGATTACTCGACGATTCTATTCCGACGTTATTCAATACTTCCTACATTCTGCTTCGCATATATATTTAATAACATACAATGATAATAATTAACAGAAGGATGACAAAGTCAATGTCAAACGAAATGAACAACAAAACCGTTTTGCAAAGATTGAACAACAAGCGCTCAAGATCAAAAACAGAACGGTTCCTTATGGATTTGTATTTATAATTATTTTATTTATACTAGATGTTGTTTAGCATAAATTGCAATTTATTTCATTCATTCGTTGTATTTTATAAAATGATTATCTATTAACATATTAACATTTAAAACAATTATAATATTTCATTCACATGACACAAGATTAAGAATTTGATTGATTGTAAAAGTATATATATACATGTAATTTATAGTTGTGTAATAATATATTTTAGATAAATTAAATTAATAAATATTCTATTTGACAATTCCCTGCTCACCTTAACATATATAATTCGCTATATTGGTAAAAATTACTTGATAGTCATATGATAATTGATAAGATTAGATATACTGTAAATCTGTATTGTGCTTTAATTTTTTTATTTAATTTATGATTTAATTTTATCAATAGTTTATAATTATATACTTTTATTAAGATAAATAAATTAAAATTACTCATTTTATAAAAAAATATATTTGATATATATTATTTAGTAATTTTATGGATCTATTATTAATAATTATAATACATTTCACTCTTGTCTTAAGACTTATCTTTGGCTTATATTCCATTTCTTTAAAAACATTTTTAGTTCACTTTTTTATATATAAATGCTTTTTTCCAAAAATATATAAATTATGATGAATAGTTTTATAAAAAAATATCCTTACATTCTTTCTTTCAAATTATTGTTTAAGATATATGCATATATTTTTGACTGTCAGAAAGTGGGAGGAGGACTAAGAAGGATATTTTTTATTAGCTTAAAATGATATTCACAAAAAGTTATAAATTTCTGAGGGGGGGATTTCCCCTTGCCCCCCCCCCCCCTTGGCTACACATATGTTTATAATGATTATATATATTTATGATTTAATATGGCTGAAGTTAACTAGCTAACACTCATTTCATCTATTATAATGTGATATCCAAATTAGAGGTAGGCGCGGGCCGCGAAATTACGCGTGACCCATCGTGTTACGGTGGGTTACTGCGTAGTGTGAATGACTGGGCCTGACGGGCCTTAATTTTCTCAGGGAGTGAACATAAATTTCTTGTGAATCACGGAAATTTTAATTTTTTAAATTTATTTTTTATAAATATAAATTTGCATTTTATAATTATATTGTATGTTTTCTTATTTAATTTAGTTCTTTTTAAAAAATAAATAATTTATGAAAACTAAAAATCTTTCGCATTTTATAAACAACATCCGGTATCATTTCGTTAGTTCTATTTTCTTTTATATTTAGGTGTTTTTTTATTACGAGACTTTATGCTAAATATTTCTTAAACAGAAAAGTCAGTTATGTTTTATTTGTAAAGATCTTCAATCTTTAAATGCAACAGAAAGTGAAGGATTTTACAAGCTAGGCCAAGAGATAAATGTTGGTGTTACATATGGATAACAAAATATAAAAATTGTGAACCGGAAAACTCTCATGAATACTATAGGTCCAAAGATATACCATGAAATAAAAATTAAGATTAAAAGCATGATCAATTATAATCGAAGTTTTTAAACCATTACGACATATTATCATTAAGGATTTTGAATTAAAAACATTTGTTTTGGCCACAATGGAAATGAAAACAGGCGTCAATATTAAAAGTGTATTCAATTTAATTTTAGAAGAATACACAGAAGTAGATTTAAATAAATGTATAGTTGTGTGACGATAATGGAGCAAATCTTATAAGTGTATTCAAAGATGATGAAACGCTAGCATGTATCACATACTAAATAATATTATGCCTTATATTTTTGATAATTGTTTAATTGAAATAGCCTTAAATATAAATGGTAAATAGTACAATATTTCAAACAATCTACAGCTAATAGCAAACTAAACCACACCCTTAAACAAGATGTAATAACGAGATGAAACTCTGTATATATCATGATACAGAGTTTCTTAAAATCGTATTCTGAAATACAGGTGTACTTGTTTGGCAAATAAGAATTAAATAGATTCAATTGATATCAGCATCATACGCGAGTTAAATATATTTTTAACAATATTTAAAGATTGCTCGGATAATCTGAAAGATTTTCATTACACAATAAATGAAGTTTATCTATGGAAACAAAAATTAGTAAAATTTTGTAAACCTTCTGAACGTGATACAATAATAATCAAAACCTTAAAATACAGAACAAGATTTCTTTTAAAAGAAAGATTTATTATGCAGCCACTACATAAGGTAGGCTTAATTCTAGATCCGAATTTCAAAAGACTTAAGTTTTTAATAGAAGAAGAAAAGGATGATATATACAAAACAATCTTAAAAATGCTAAATGACATAACATTAGATGATATGCATAAGTCGATGCCAACTATCACTTATAACTTTCCTAACTTATCCTAAACTCATAAAAAAACGTATATTCTAAATGGTCAATACCAACTATCATTTATAACTTTCCTAATTCATCATACACTCATAAAAGACAGTATATTCTAAATGAAAAATTTATAGAATTTCTAGTCTGACGAAACATCAGCATCACCAATTAAAGCTGTGAGGATGAACTTTAAAGATTCATATAAAATAAATAACAAGACAATATTTTGAAGTTTTGGAAGCAGGAATATTCATCTGCTTTTTTGAGAAAATTAGCGAGTCTAGTGAAAGGGTATTTTCTATAGCCAATCTCTTGTTAGTGGAAAGGCGTACTCAATTGAAATAAAAAAAGATGGACATTCTTCTTTTTCTAAATCAATTTCGATTTATAGATTGTATTTATTTTTTACTAATATGGATTATGAAATTAGAGAAATAAATAGAATAAATTCAAAAAAGTGTAAAATTATAGCAATAGTTTTGAAAAATTTAAAAACACCGTGAATTTTCTGATGTGACGGGCGTGAATCAAAATATTTTCGTGAGTGGGCGGGTCGGGTCGAAAATTTTTTAGTGGTAAGTGTGAATGGACGTAAATTTTTTAATTAGGCCCGCGCCCACATTTAATTAAGATCAATCATTGGCGTACTCAGCGGGGTGGGTAGGGGGACAAATCCCCCCCCCCCCCTAAAGCCAAAAAATGCAGATGCCGGATATATTTTTCAAAAATATAAATATTATTGTTTATATTAATTTATATTTGTTAATATTTATTCGTATCTCATATTAAATATATATTTTATTACATTTATTATCACATTCATACGTTATTTTATCAATTAATTTCGATTTCAAGTTTTCCGGCGTAATATTTACTTATTATTTTTTAATTTTTAGTGGCGTAATATTTATCTACCATTTTCAAATTTCTATTCAAATAATAATTATTTCTGAAACTTCTGGTCCAACAGGGAAAAAGAAATTGCAACCTTGCCCAACGAGATAGAGCCTCTTCCATCAAGCACTTACAGCTATTAAGGAATTAGAAGAGCCAATTATTTGCTATTACTGAAATATCACAATGGCCTGAAAGAAATATTTCCTCAGAAGCAAGAAAATTATTGGATTCAATGCTTATTCCAAATTTTATTTCTCATTAGAATGTATTATTTAATTATACAACTATTTTAAGTATTACTTTTCAAAAACATGACATTGATTTGATTAAGAAGATGAGAATAGCGGAGAGCATTTTATCAGAACTCAAGGAAATTAGGGCTAATGTTGTTGAAGAATTTAATATTTAATATTTTATTGTTGAGTCAAAAGCAGATATATACGTGTTTAATATTTGTGTTCCTCGACTTGTAGCAAATCAAGCTCATCGTTAAACCCATAGGTGTAGCCAGGGGGGGGGCAAGAGGAAATCCCCCCCTTTAGAAATATATCACTTTTCATAAATATCATTTTAAACTAATAAAAAAAACGTTCCTTATTCCCAACCCACTACCTGTCTCTCGAAAATGTATGCATATATTTTCTTAAACAATAATGAAAGAAATAATGAGAGTTAATAATTTTTTAAACTTAAACTATTGACTATAATTTATATTTTTTAAAAAGATTTATATATAAATATATATAAAAAAGTGATATCAAAAATGTATTTTAAAAAATGAAATATAAGCCATATATAAGTCATAAGACAAAAGTCAACTTTATATAATTACTATTAATAGATCTATAAAAATACTAAGTAAATTAATATATAAATATGACTTTTCATAATTATATATAGTGAATTATTTTAATTTATTTTTCTTAATAAAAGTAAAATTTAATTACAAAATTATTAATTAAATTAATTTATAAATTTAATAAAAAATTAACATAACCATATTCCCATTTTTTTTAAATTTCCTTCCAATTTATTTTTAAAATATAATTTGCAATTTTTTGACCGAGCAACAAGCATTATATTTGTTTTAAGATTGATATGGACATCAGAAAATATCTTTTAAAGAATGTAAATGAAAAAGGAAATTCTATATTTATTATAATAAATATTAATTTCCTACCAAGATCATCATCGCAAGAAAATTGATTCAATTTCAAGTGAAAATAGGGTATCAGAAATATTATGTAACAATCATGAAAATATATCAAAAAAGAAGGAAATTAGAATAAATTTAACAAGGATTGATTAACGTATATTTTATATTAATATTGAGTTTATATATCTTTTTTTAGTGATGTTGCTGGGAGATAATAATTCTCTAAATATAAGAGACATTGATTCAAGTAAGAACTATTTGAATATTAATATAATAATTATTATTAGTTGTTATTGATTCTCAAAAAGATGATAAAATATTAGAGATTGTGCTAGAGAATGAGAAAAGTAATCCTATCATCCAGGTAGTCCCAATAGGTATTTTATTTTAATATCATTATGTAATTTGCATTTTTTTAAGTTAATGTTGTTGATGAAAGATCTGCAGTAAATCTTATACAGTCAAGAGTTCAAAATATGGATAGTAAAATTTCTATTTTAAAAATATGTAAATAGTTTATTTAGGTACTTTACCATTTGACATAAGTAATTATGTTCAATTGGATGTAGCCTACCAAAGACTTTAATATACTAGAGAGTATATATAGGCCACCCAATAATTATAAATTTCCAAGAGATCTTTCTAGAAGGAAATTAAAATTTCAATTTAATTGGTTTACCACTTGGCTATGGTTGGCTTACTCACCTTCACAAAATGGGGCTTATTGTAAATATTGTGTTCTATTTGGACCAAAATATGTTGGTAAAGGTGAACAAAAATTAAAGCGACTTGTGAATTGCCCATATAGACGTTGGAAAGATGCAGGAGAGAATTTTGAAAATCATCAAAACAATTTATACCATAAAAATACACAAAATATTATATCATCTCTTAGAGCAATTAATGCTAATGATAGAGATTCTATCATTCATATAATAGGTAAACCATTAAAAATTATTATAAGAGAATTATTTATTTTTTATAAAGATCAAGGTAAAAAGAAAATAGCAAATGAAAATAGACGAAAAATATCTCCTATAATAGATGCAATAATTACATGTGGAAATCAATGTATGGCATTAAGAGGTCATCGAGATTCAGGTTGTATATTTAAGGATGATACAAATGAAAATGATGGGACTTTCGAGCTATTCTCAGAAACCGAGCAATTGGAGATAATGAGCTCAGGATTAACTTGTTAAATGCACCGAAAAATGCTTTATATTTAAGCCCCATCATTCAAAACGAAATCATTGATGTGTGTAATGATTTAATATTAAGAAAGGTAGTTGCCAACATTAACAAGTCTCCATTCTTTTCAGTCTTGGCAGATGAATCAACTGATATATCTGGCATAGAGCAAATGTCCTTGTGTGCTCGATATTTATTTTCTGAAAATGGTAAAATTTATATTTATTTTATACAAATTATTATCATTTATATAGATGAAGTTCAAATAAAAGAAGACTTTTTGCAATTTATTCCGATTCAAGATATGAGAGGTGAATGTCTTGCTAACACTATTGATGTTCATCTTAAAAAATTTAAAATTAATGTTAATTTTATGCGGGGACAAGAATATGATGGTGCCCCTGCTATGAGTGGACATTTAAATGGTGTTCAATCACATTTAATAAAAAAATATCCTACTGCAATTTATGTACATTGTGCATCGCATTTCCTAAATCTAGCCATTTCTGATTGTTGCTCAATTCCCGTTATTCGTAGTACCATGGGTTTATTAAACTTTTATATTAATTATAATCATATATTTAAAAAGGCACAATAGGCAAGGTATATGATATGTTCAAGTATCCAAAAAGATCTAATGTCCTCAAAAATATTCTGGCAATGGAAGAATTTGGCAATAATCATCATAAACTTGTGAAAATGTGCCCTACAAGATGGATCCTACGACATGAATCGGTTGCAGTTTTTCTTGAATTAGTTGACCCGATAATTGTTGTATTGGAGGAAATATGTGGATGGACAGATACATCAGTGGTGGCAGAAGCCAATGGAATCTTGAAAGCGATTCAAGATCCTGAGTTTTTATTGGCCATTAATTGCATTAACACTCTCTTCTGCCACACAATATTATTATGCAGAGCCTTTCAAAGAGTGAACCAAGATATGGTTCAGGCATTGATCTTAGCTGAAGATGCATATAATGCTATTTTACAGATAAGAAAAAATGCTGATTGTGAATTTCGAACGATTTTTAACAAAGTTCAAAAAAAAGTGCAATCTTATAATATGATAATAAGCATGCCAAGAATAGTATCAAGACAAGTACATAGGAATAATATTTCCTTACAATCAGTTGAGGAGTATTACAAAATTATTATTTTTATACCACTTATGGACACTTTTTTAACTCAGATTAAAGAACGTTTATTAAACCATAAACTTTTGCTAAGTAACTTTCAAATTTTGTTATACTCTAATCCATCTGTGAACATTTCGGATGACATTAGAAATAAAATTCAGTATTTATATAATTTTTATTTGCAAGATATGGTAGGGACCGAATTAGAAGTAATAAGTGAATTTAAATATTGGTTTGCCAATTTAAAAAGAATGGATATAAAGCCTGATAATGCAATGCACTGAATATTTGTAAACACACACTAATTGAATTATTGAACATAACAAAATTATTTCAAATTTTAGCATGCCTCTCAATTACGACATGTACAAATGAAAGAACTTTATATAATTTAAGAAGACTAAAAACATACTTACGAAATAATACCTTGCAAAATAGATTAAATGGTTTAGCGCTATTAAATATTCATCGGGAATTAACACCAGATAATACTGAAATAATTAATGAATTATCAAATTCTAAAAGAAAATTTAATATAACATTATAAATTATTACCACGTTTTTGTATGATCTATCTTATATTACACAAAACATAAATTATTATTACGTTTTTGTATGATCTATCTTATGACATAAATTAATACCACATTTTTGTGTGATCTATCTATATTAACAATAAACTAATAAAAATATATTTCATATTTCTTCCGGGCTTATTATTTGTTAAAAAAATTTAAATTTATAAAAGGGGGTCTGGGGGGGAGCCCCCAGAAATTGTGTGATCCCCCCCCCCCCACTCCTTTAAGAAAATCCTGGCTATACCTATGGTTAAAACATTAATATAGGATCAGTAGAAGAATATATCTTATTATAACCCAAATAAATGAATTTTTAATTCATCATGCAGCACTTACATCTGCAATTATTACTTCCACAAAAGCCTTCCCAATCTTTTTCAGATGGTGATAGAAAAAAAAATATTTGTTAGATTTTTATTATGAAGATGTTAAAGTATCTTATGATGCCTTAATAGCTGAATAACTATGTTTATAAGATTAACTATTGTTAATATAATCCCAAAAAATGTCATGGATGCTCTGCATTATTTCAAACACATTTTAGATTACCAATGTATTAAAAGGGTTTATAAACTCTTCCCATTAGTAAACTAATGAGAGAACACTATCTTTTTTAAGAAGAATAACAGAGGCCTGCAGAAGTACCATTTGCAGGGCACGGCCCTGATTTTTTAAGATTTTTAACGGCTCGGCCTGGGTTTTTTTTAAAAATTTTCAGGCCCTGCCCGGCTTTTTTTAAAAAAATTTATAGGCCCGGCTCGGCTTTTTTTAAAAAATTTTCAGTCTCGGCCCGGCTTTTTTTAAAATAAAATTTTCAGGCCCGGCCCGGATTTTCTAAAAATAAATTTGATTTTTATAGCTAATAATAACGATTTCAAATATAGGCTGTTTTAAAAACTACAGCCCGGCCTGGGTGTTTTTTTTGAATAATTCAGGCCCTGCTTGGGTGTTTTTTTAAAAAAATTTCGGGCCCGGCCTGGGTATATTTAAAAAAATTAAAATACTGTCCGGCCCAGGGGCTGGGCCTGCAGGTCTCTGAAAAACATACCAAGAAGTACAACATGTGAAAGTAGATTGAAAGGTTTGGATCTTTTGAATATTCATAGGCATTTGACCACAAGCAAGGATGAGATAATTGAAAAATTATCTCAATCGCAACTAAGATTGGATTTTACATTAATATATAACATACAAAATACAATTATTCCTAAAAAACTTTTTGTGTAAAGGCTTAAAAAATTCAAATTTCTATTTTGGGTCATTTAAGTGATTATTTACATATAATTTTTTTATAATTCACATTAATTTAAAATTGTGTATTAGGAATAGTTATTAGTCCTAATAAATTTATGCTTTATATTTTTAAAAAACAATAATATTTCTTTAAAAAATTTATCACCCCCCCCCCCCCCCACCCCCAGACCAAATTCCTGCGTACGCGCCTGAGATCAATATATATATTTTATATCCTGCCTTTTATTTGTATGAGTTATATAGATGAATAAATATTGTTGCAATTATTATTTTATATCCTGCCTTTTATATGTATGTGTTATATAGATGAATAAATATTGTGTTTAAAATTATTATTTTATTTATGATATTGGCGCAGTCATGGATGTAAATAATGTGTAATATGAATCTATTGAATGTTTTATGGAATATATTAGGGGAAATGATTGGAAAATGTCATGGCGAGTAAACTATTTTGTAAATGTGATATTTATTTGAGCAATATAAATGTATTGGACATTTCATGAAATTAAATTATGGATATAGATAAAATTATGATTGATAATGAACTTAATTTGGAAAATATAATAATGGTATAATATGAATGAATTATGATCATGAAATCTGATATTATAATTGTTGTAGCTGTTGAAAAAAAGAAGAAATAAATTTAATATAATACATCAAATGCCAGTTATTTTCTGAGAGGAGAATTAAGTTTTCCTTGTTGGAAAGAAAAAAAGGGGATCATCACGTGGGTTGGTGAGAAACAATGGAGCTTTCTTTAGGTGTCTTTTGGGGTGAAGAATATAATGGAAGTTGGATATTTATAATCTTTAGATATTTAAAATGAATAAATATGACTTCTTCTTTAATGGTGCCGTGACCAGGATTTACTTAGGGATTAATGCGGATCACAATGCAATGTAAAGGATAAGAAAGGTAAGACCAGTAAATATTTAATGTTAAAGATATAAATTAATTGATAAAAATGATAGCTATGTTTGTATAGGCTAGGTTAAGGAATAAGAAATATTATGATGAATATTTCATTTCTATTAATGTTTGTATATTATTAATGTGGTCAGTAAGGTAGTTTCATAAATTGAACTACATTTGAAATAAAGGTTTATATATTTTTAATATGGTGGGTAAGGTAGTGTCATAAATTGAACTATTTGAAATAAAGTTTAAAGGTGAGTGGGTTACATAATATGTGATATATTGGTGGTTTAATTGGAATTAAACGGATAAAGTATTTGGTGAATGATAAGTATATATGGGATATATATTTGAATGTAAAATAAATGTTATTATAATACTAAAAGTGATGCATGTACAGAACCTGGAGATTCAAGAGTTATTCGTTATAAAAGGGTAAGAACTATTTTTTTCATGTAATTTTGAATTTTACTGTGAAACCATAACATAAGTACTAAAAACTATACAGGGGTAAGTGAGATTAAGAGGTGAGTTTAAGGGTTTCTATAATTTTATCTGAAATATTTAGTTTACATTTAAGATAGAAAGTATGTAATGAGTATAAGGATTGAAAATAAAATAAAATGATTAATTATTGGTTAATGATATTTGATTCGTTTTGGCCCATTTAAGACAATAATATTTGAGGTATTAGATGTCTTCATTTTGGCCATTTAAGACAATAATATTTGTGGTATTATATGTCTAGATGTATATTTTACATCCAATGTTTGACAATAAGTATTGCCTTATTATTTGGTACGCTTTAAGACTCACTGAATGGTGTTATAGGTATTCCGTCATAGGTATTCCGTCATAGGTATTCCGTCATAGGAAGATAAGACCTCAAGTTCAGCAGGACAGAAAGGATTGCTAAATATTTAAATATTTGAAATTTATGAAGATATATAGAAATGGACTTTTGTAATAAAGTATGTTTATATAATTATGCATTTTGGGTTTTTAAAGGGATGGACATGTGGGATAATTTATTATTAATTAATGTTAATATATTGTATATGTAATTCAGTTTCAATTATGGTTGATATATCATTAAGTGATCTATTGAGAGTGAGTTAATGTTGTTTATTTTGAAGTAATTAACCATTTTTATGAAATAGGATGTAATGTGAATTACACATATGATATATATAATTATGAATGATAATTTAAAGGAACTGAAGTATGATGAAGTCAGAATAATATCTATAATGTTATAGGTGGATAGTTATTTTGATTTAGTGCCTGCATTTGATATATATATAAATTGGGTATGGATTTATATGATATATTAGATGATGTGTAATATTTTTTTTTTTTCAAATTATGAAATCTTTATATTTAATATATATATAAATTTTTTTTTTAAATTATAAAATTTTATAAAAAGTTTTATTTGCAATTATTAGATTATTTTTATGGTATGCAATGATGTGAAGGGAAAATATTTTTACAGATAAGGTCAGCTTATGTTGATGGGTATGCCTTGAGGTGGGAATATTGTTTAGTTTGCATACTGGAGAAAGTTTTTTTTTATGTAAATTTTTTTTGTAAATTTATGCTGCATATTACATTTTTTTTATCTTTGTAATAATTTTATAGCACATCACATTTTACTATTTATTTTATGAACATTTTTTTTAAAGAAAAGACTCAAATTATTTTATATTGTGAAGGTATATTAATTTATTTCTATACATATGTCTTGTAATTTTATTTAAAATCTTTGTTCGGCAAATTGTCACAATTATTTTTAATACCTAAAAATGGATTTTTATATCTATTTTAGGTGATATTTATAAAGCTGTAGCTTTGATTTTGTTTACATGACAGAAGGACAATTACATGTGTTTCACACATAGACCATGTGTTGAAATTGCATTTCACACATAGACCATGTGTTCACATTACAGTATTATATGTAAAATCATTATTTCCTAATTACCATTAATCATACCCAAACAATGTATATTATAGCTCCTATTTCCCAAATGTCTTAAAATAAATGAATTATTATGTTTTGCTGATATTACATTGTCCATATTAAGGTTCCATAGATTATAAATGCAGATACCCCAATGTACATTTCATTATTGATAATATGTGTTTTAGCGATTATATATTGAAATGTATCGGAGATATTATATTATAAATCATCATAAGGGAAGACGATTCGATAAATTCCCTGAACGTCTTCAAGGCGTCCCGATACAATTCAAAGGAGCGATTCGATACAATTTAAAGGGGGCGATTCGATACAACATCACCACAGAGAGAGGGACGCTGGGCTTGTGAAGGGTGGGCGTGTTGTAGCTGTTGAAAAAAAGAAGAAATAAATTTAATATAATACATCAAATGCCAGTTATTTTTTGACAGGAGAATTAAGTTTTCCTTGATGGAGAAAAAAAAAGGGATCATCACGTGGAGCTTACTTTAGGTGTCTTTTGGGGTGAAGAATATAATGGAAGTTGGATATTTATAATCTTTAGATATTTAAAATGAATAAATATGACTTCTTCTTTAATAATAATTATGAAATAGAACAATTTCTAATTTAATATGAATAAAGTAATGAATTATTATAATGACAAACAAAAATTGGTTGACGAATGAATTTGAGAAAAAAAGAAAATAATAAAATCATTTATTTTTCGTACAAATGAAGATGTTCATGTTGATTATATTGAATGGAATTGCAAAAGAATGAAGTTATTTACAATATCACAATACAATAATTAAAAATGAGAATGATAAAATTATGATTATTATATGATTTATTTATATTGAGGAATAATTATATGTTATGAATATTTGTGATGATATGAAATTAATTTTGGGACATTGATGACAGTAAAAATTGAACATTATGGGAAATAATATTGTGAAAACATGGGTGCTAATGATATATTGACATTTACATGGTAATCTGGTTTATGGATTATGATTACGGATCATGGTAATTTAGGCATTAAGAAAACGGATACTGACAAAGAAGCCTGGCTTAAACCTAATGATATAAGGACGTTGGGTACTCAAATCACGTGATCTATGAGCAGAATAATAAGGTTTCCGTGAGCCAGATGTGACTTATGATGGGATGTAGGGGTAAGAATTACCTTATGGGTCATTCAAGGATGATAGCAATCTCTTGGCCAACATGGATAAAAGTGACCTTGTGGACCATCCAAGGATAATAACGATCTCTTGGCCAGCTTTAGGATAACGCTGACATCGTGGGTCGTCAAGCACAATGTCGACCATCTACAATGGACTTGATAACGATATTCCGGTGGAAGATCAAACATGCAATGGCCTTGATAACTATACTCCGGTGGGAGATCAAGCATACAATGGAATTGAGAATATTCCGGTGGGATATCTGTCGATATTGATACTGGGATGAGAGATTAATCAACAATGTAATCGACATGAGTACTCTGGTTGGGGGGGGGGGGTATGTCGATATTGATACTTCGACGGGAGATCAATCAACAAGGGAAACAATATTGTTACTCTAGGTAAGATCAATCAACAAGGGAAATGATATTGATACTCTAGGTGAGATCAATCAACAAGGGAAACGATATTGATACTCTAGTCGAGATCAATAGTGCCAAGGGTTGATACTCTTTTGAGAGAGCAAACTTTTAATTGGGGATTGTAGAGTGGATGTTAAAAAAGGTAACACCACCCTGTAAAGGTATATGGAAAGTAAGGCAAAGATTTTTTAGGAGTAACCTTAAGTCGTGGATGCCTCTAGCAGATGAAGGTCTCCTTTCAATTAAAGAATGGGAAATATAGTAATATATTGTATACTATTTATACATTGAATTATTATATTCGTCAATTAGATTTGGTTATAATGATCATATATTTATGATTAAATATATTAGATGAGGTTTTTTAATATATTGTCTTTTATTTGTATGTGTTATATGGATGAATAATTTTTGTGTTTTACAATTATTATAATATTTTTTATATAAAAAGCAATTACATAATTAATAAATAGTTAAGAAAAATTAATTAAAAAAAATATATGAAATGCAACCTAACCATAAAAGTGACATATTTCACAACACATAGAACTTTTGTCCAATTTATTTAAATGTATTTGGTCTTCGTTTAGCACAATTCCAATAGATATTCTTTTAATTTATATCCATTTGAAGTTTCTTGAATCCAGATGCTAATTTTTTATACTATATTTTTCCTTATATTTTGTTATATTGTAATATTCCCTCCCAAAGAATTTATTTCAGCTGGATTAACCCTAGATAATATTGTTTCATCTTTTATAATTGAAGAGAGAGAAAACTTTATTAATCATCATATTAAACGTACCAGCATTAATTTAATAATTTTTTCACTCCTGCCATCAAGTATATTTAAACTTTTAATTTAATTCTTCTATTATAATTTTTAGTATTTATTTATGGCTGCAAAGTTCTTCATTGGCAAGAGGTAGAAAATGAAATAATGACCATTGATAATTTCAAAAAATGGAACAATAAGACCTACAATGAATTTAATGGGCTCCAATTCTTATTAAATTTTTTTTTCTATTTTCTGGGATTTACAACATTTATCTTTTTTCTTACTTGCATTATCATTAAGTATTACTCTTTAGAAAACTGGAAAAATCACCCAATTGCCCAAAATTTGACTCTATATACATCAACAGTTGAAATTTCTGAAATTAATAATGAATCACATGAAAATATTAACAAGGAAACAAATAATTTGGAAAATTTTTCAATTAAAAAAGATAGTTGGGTTAGGGTAGCTGAATCAGTTAGTAAAGAATTTCAATTGATTGATAAGTTTTCCTCAAATTTTGGGAATAGTAAATTTTATTTAACGAATTCTTGGATGATTAAGGTTGGAATTTTTAATGTGAATATTGTTCAAAAAAATGATGTTGAACTAAATTTAGCAGTTGCCAAAGATCATACTCTCTCTCATATTAGTGATTTTGGAGCTCAAATTTTAGAAATTAAAGTTAACCCTATACACAAAACTAATATACAACCTTTTAATATCAGGTAAATTATCCATAATATATATACACAATATATTAATAATTTAGGCTAAGTTCCTTTGACTATAATAGTTTAAAAGAATCACTAAAAAGACCAATTATAATTACAGAAAATATTGTAATTAAACAATCCCTGTCTGATAGATTTGTTGAGACATTTATCGATGTTATAAATGGAAATCCAAAGTACACCTTGCCTCCCATCATTGTAATTATTTATAAATATAGATTATTAGCTTTAATTTATAATAAAATTAAAAACTCAGATTAATTGATTTGATTAGGCTGAATCTTGAATTTAAAAATTTTGCAGGCAAGTTAGAAATTTTTTTTCAGATCAAGCCAGACCTGAAAAGGTAGATGCAGGGCTTTAATTGATAAGAATGTTATTAAATATTATTAACTGAACTATGTTTTGCCTATTTATTTTCATGTTTATTTTATAATAACTAGGGATGTACCGATATTTTTTATCGGGTTGGGCCGATATTTCACCTATTTTAAAATATCGGTTATCGGCCAATATTATAAAATTTTCCGATCCGATATAAAATTGCGTCTTTAACAAAAGTAAAATGTTATAAAATTTTTATAAAAAGTTATATCTAAAATCATTTATTTTTATAAATAAAATCAAAGTCCATTTTTACATATATTTTTTTAATAATAATAATTAATTAATAAACATTCTGCCATATTGTTATTTTTTGCGCATTCTGTTTATAAAAGTGTGCGATAATCTCTTCAGAATCAGTTTTTAGTGAAACTGGTGATATTAACATTTATCATTGCCGCAGGCTGAGATAAATTGGGAATTTTGGTATTTCTAAGAAGAAATCTTTGATATATTAATGTTAAATATTATTTTAAATATTTATTTCAAATTTCATATATTATTTATTATATAAAAGTGATTTAATTTAACATTAAAAATATTTTATTGAATTGAATCCGATCATTATAATGGTTCCACATCAATTCAGCGCATGACAATTTGGGGCACGACAATTTGGCGCAACGTTAATTTAGCGCGGCGTCAATTTAGCGCAGATCAATAAAAAATTTAATATAAATTAACAACCAATATTTATACCGATTTTTTTGGTGGACCAATTTACCATATTATAAGGTATGTTGATTAGTAGCCATTATTATGTAACCTTGGAGAATTTGCGCATAGAAGAATGAAAGAAATAAAGAAAAAGAAAGGTTTGGACCTCTATCTCTAATCTTACATATTATTTTGGCTAAAATCATAATTGACCATTTTTAAAAATAAACCCAAATCGGCCCGAAGAATTAATGCCAATTTTTTTTATTTATTTATATTATAGGTATTGAAATTATAAATATACTAATTGAAAATAAAATTATAAATTTCCAGTGTCATTAAATATGAGAAATTTGACATTCCAATTATCATGGATAAAAAAATATAAGTGGCTTATCATGACATTGACTTAAAAAATCAAAAAAAAACTAAAAAGATTTTGTCGACTAGATTCATTGAAAGATAAGAGTAGGTGAAACTCTATTGAACTATATTATGTTGTATTTGCAGCATTGGAACTTTATATATCAAGCAAGGAAAAAGATTCAGCAGATGCTGAGAATCTTTTGCAGGCTATTAAGCCACAGGGTAATTCCATACCAAATCGATAACTTTTCGGCCGACCTTTTTAATTTCGATAAAATTTTGTAAGCTGAGAGAATATCATTTGAAAGCATCGAATCCAAAATTTTAGCCTCCTAGTACTCATAGTGCCTGAGATATCAATGGTCAAAAGTGCCAAAAATGACCTTTTTTCGAAAAATACGATTTTTTGAAATTGAGATAAGTTAAAAAATAATGATTTTAAAAATATAAGTTATATTTCATTTTGTAAATCTATTAAAGGCCTTTTATTAAATATTAAGGATTTTTTTGAAATAATATTGTTGCGGTTTTTATTTACGTTATAAATTTTAAACATGAAAATTCCAGGTGTTTCGCTTTCCAAATTTTTTTGAATTTAATATTTTCTTATTCTCTAACTTATATCTATTCATAAAAAAAATTAAACTTGGGACAGCTATGGGTTTTATAGTTATTACGATTTAAAAAATCAAAAAATAAATATTTCTTTCAAAAATAGATGGCGCTCCTTTATAAAATAACATGTTTTGTTATAATTATTATTTTTTTAAACTTTTTTTCATTTTTTAACATAAATAATAAAATTTTCCAGCATTAATATCATGAAATGAGATTATTTAGCTGCGGTTATAATCATTTTTTTTTATAAAAAATTTTAATTTTTGAAAAATTATTTTATAAATTTTGAAGATATAATAGATAAATTAAAATTCATGAAAGATATTACCTATTTTCGGTTTTTCATTAAATTTGGTTTTTTTGACGCCATGATAATTTCGTTTTGCGATAAATTATATGTACGCCCAGTAGCCGTTGATGGGCTAACTATTGTTAAAATATTATTTTTTGGTATGAAAAGGATATCTTGTGCAGCTGGATAAACATAAAAATTTGCTGGTCCTTTAGGGTGAAGAAAATTAATTTTTACTTCATCTCTAATTACATTCACTTCTTGTACAAATCCTAACCACCAATCGTTTTCATATGCACATGTTACATATCCTCTAATCTCATCGATTAACAGATCCTCAATCAAAGGATCCTCACGTGGATATACTATATTCTCCACAATAAATGTCTGCGAATTGGAATATAGTTTAGTGTTGAGTTTAGTTAAGCCAATCGGAAACACTGCATGAATTTTTTGTGTCCCGGGCGTTAAGATAGATTTACTAAATCTCTCATTTAGCCTTATCTCTTCTTCCTCATACTCTGGTATAGTGGCATAAGAAAAATTTATACCTTTTATATGCTCTTCCGCATATTTATAAAATTGTAAAGGTGTAATTATTTGATCAGTATAAGGTCTTTGTAAGCTTGCCTTGGCAACTAACCGTTTTACTGTGCCTCCTTTGCCGTCTCAGGCACTTTTACCATGTGCCGTAGGAAAAAAATGCCATTCTGCTTGAACACCAAAATCGATTTCATGGTAGCAAACATTGATGAAGTTTTTCCTATTTTTATATTGCGCTGCTGAACCATCAGAAAAGTAGTGAATTTTTTCTGGTGTGTCGAATTTGTTTTTTAAAAAATGAATCAAATGCGATTGGAATAAATGGAAATGAAACAGTATTATGAATTAAGGATTCCGATATTACTACAAAACTTAGATTGTTTATTTGATCTCCTATTTTATAATAAATTGAGAATGGATGCAACGTAACTTGCGAAGTTGTCCAATGATAACCCTGAACTTCGTCTTGGACAATAAAGAAATAATTTTCTGAAAAGTCACAAATAATTAGATAGTGATTATTTTCTAAACTATTCTTAAGTGTGAAATGAACTTTGTTGTTCACAAATAAATGAATGGCGTATGAGAATATTCATTTTATCGCAAAAATAATTAATAAATTCGTCTGAAGATTGAGAAATAGTCTCCAGACTTGTTCTATCTACCGAAACCCACTGTTTAAACATAACAAGAGCTATATCATTTTTTATAAATAATTTTTGATGCTTTTTTTTAAGAGTGCCGAGCCAGGACATTCGTTGCAGTCACCAAAATAACAGGTGGGTAACGGGGGATTGCAAATCATTCTGCCTATAACATCTCTATAAGTTGTTAATGTCTCACCATTTTTAGTCAATGTTGCTAATTCACAGCCTAAAATCATAAGTTTAATATTCTGGTGTATGCTACAAACGCATACACTATGTGTTCCGCTAGCCCTTGCTAATATACAATTTTTTGGTCTTAAGCTAGCAAATTTTGAAAATTCAATTTTTAAGTTTGAATTACTCGCCTTAAAATGATTATATAATTCTTTCAAATTATTAAGAACTAACCTTTTTTGAGCGTTCACTCGTTCCCCTTTTCAATGATAGATATGCAATCTTTTTTTCCTGGTAATACCCTACTAACTTCACTGCAAAATTTTTTTTTAACAATATCAACTGTTTTTTGATTGAGATATTTTGCAGGCTTTCGATTTGGAGTTGAAAGAATCCCCTTTTCTTCTAAAATGATTTTGGAATTATATGCCATATGATATGTAGCGTTGAATGTCTTTTTATTTTATTTGCGCTCCAATTAGGAGGCAGAATGGTCAGCAATTGATATTTTTTATTATTAGATAAATTAGGATATTGTAATTTCATGTTATTGAGTATATTATTATTCTTTTGTATCCGATTCTGGATTGTTAATTATTATATCTGAAATAGCTTTTGATATTTTTGTTACCTTTTTTTTGGATAATTTTTTTCGGTTAGTTTTTTTTCTTATAAGAGATATTCCAATATCATTTAAAGTTATATTGATTTTATCTATTGATGTTGATGCTGTGCTGTTATTTACATATTCATTATCAGAATTTAAATTTCAATATTTTTTTGTCATAACCGTTTACGACATTTATCACAAATATAGTGTTCCGCCTCAATGTTTGGATATTGTGTCATCCACGTCTTGACTTTACGCAGGTTCTTTTTATAATTAAAGTGTTTAGATTCTTTAAAAGGATTTACACATTTATATTTATACATTATAAATAATTTGAAGAAAAATAATTAATATCAAAATATTTGTAAAATAAAAATAATTAATTTTAGGGCAGGTGCATGAAAACTTGATTTTATCTTTCAACAATTAATTATTATATTTTCTTGTAGGAGATATCGGAATTTTAACTATCTTTTTAGGAAATTTAATAATTTATTATAAAAACTAATTTTTACAAGTTATCAATATAGCAATAATAATAAATAAGCCTATCAAACGATCTATATAATATTTTTTCCTGATATTAATGCTGGAAAATCTTATTATTCATGTTTAAAAATGAAAAAAAGGTTAAAAATAATAATTATAACAAAACATAGTTATTTTATAAAGGAGCGCCATCTATTTTTGAAAAAAATATTTATTTTTTAATTTTTTAAATCGTAATAACTAAAAAACCCATGGCTTTCCCAAGTTTAAATTTTTTTTATGAATAGATATAAGGTTAGAGAATAAAAAAATATTAAATTCAAAAAATTTTGGAAAGTGAAACACCTGTAGTTTTCGTGTTTAAAATTTATAATGTAAATAAAAACCGCAACAATATTATTTCAAAAAGAACCTTAAT